CTGTTGATGCTAGGCGTCCCGGTAGCCGCATGCTTGTTTGCACATGTGTTCGCAGGAGGTCAAGAAGGAGGGAGGATGAGGATGCACTGTGAGAACGACGGCAACGCAATGGGGCCGTCATTCGTGGGAGCCGCGAGCTGTGATGGTCTCCGGCGTCCGGGGTCAGAAACAAGTCGTCGACGCCAGGTGTGGTGGCATTCGGTAGTTGAGCGTGTCCTTGCGGGGTGTCCTGTCCCGTGGCTGACTTGGGAGGCGCGTTGTCGCATGGTTTGCTGAAGGATGGAGCGTGCAGTTGCCGTGCCCGCTGCTGATTGCAGCACAACTGTCAGCGTGTTTCTTGCCATTGTCTTCGCCTGCCGAGACGCGGGGATCAGGGGGCGAGGGGGCAGGGAGGCATGGGGTGGGGGGGGCGGCGGCCTCAAACAAGCTCAGGAGCCCGTCAGGCGACAGGATTGGACGTCGTCGACGTCGGGTTCTTTTTTGCGTTTGCCTCTCATGGTTCCAAGTTCGAGCCCGTTTTTTTTCTCCCGACTTCCGCTCCCTGGGGCTGTTTTCGGGCCCCGGGCTTTTCACAAACGGCCCCGGAATGAAAACCGACTTTCGGCGACGACGGACGTTTGATCCGACAGTCATGGTGTCCTATGGGCACGAGGTCTCGAGGGGATTTGGCAATGCATAATCCACGCCCGCGTCTGATTTCAGCACGTCTGTCAGCCTTTCTTCTCGCGTGGCTCGTGTTCGAGGACCCCGTTCACAGATGCGCCCCAGAATCATCAGAAACGGTCTCGGCGTGGAAACCCAATTTGGTTGCCCGCCGAGACGCGGGGATCAGGGGGCGAGGGGGCAGGGGGGCAGGAAGGGGGGGGCGGGGGCTTCAAACAAGTCAGTCGACATGAGTGGTCGTTGTCGACTTCTCGTGTTTTCTTCTTTGCTTCTGAAGGCCCCCAGTTCGAGCCAGATTTTTGTCCGCCTTCCGCTCCCTGGGGCCGTTCTCGGGCCCCGGACTTTTCAGAATCGGCCCCGGGATGAAAACGGACTGTCGGCGACGATGGACGTTTCGTCATCTTCCGCTCCAGACTGCGTTCCCGATGGACGCGGCAGTTATGAGGTGCTCTCGGCACTCCGTCTAGAATGGATTCGGCACTGCATATTCCATGGCCGCTGCTGATTTCAGCGCGACTGTCAGCGTGTTTGCTCACGTGGCTCTTGTTCGAGGGTCTCGTCTAACAAGCGCCCCGGGATCGTCAGAAACGGTCCCGGTGTGGACGTCGATTCGACGACTCATTTTCGATTCGAGTTCGGTGTGACGGAGAATGCAAGATTTCACATTGAGAGGAGGGACGTAGAAGGTGATCGGCAGGAGGAGGAACAGAGGGAGCGGAAGGGGAGAAGTGAGAATGATGGTGTGCAGAAGACCCGACAGTCATGAGATGCTATCGGCATTCCGTCTCGATTGCCTCGGCACTGCGTACTACATTCCCGCTCACGATTTCAGCAAGATTGTCAGCGTGTTTGCTCACGTGGCGCTTGTTCGAGGAACTCGTACAAAAAGCGCCCCAGAATCGTCAGAAACGGCCCCGGTGTGGACATCCATTCGACGACGTATTTTCGATTCGAGTTCAGCGTGACGGATAATGCAATATTGCACATTGAAAGGACCGCAGAGACTCCTTCGGCGCATCAGGAGGCCATCAGGAGGGCTTCCACGAGAGCACCCGAGGGCGAAAACCATCGATTTTTGTTTAGGCTTTCGCCCGACTGGCAGGGTGTCGGAAAGAGCGCCAGCGAGTGAAGTTGTGCACGGGGCTTTCGTTCCATTCTGAGTCTGCTGGCCATCCTGAGTCTTTTGGCCGCTCGTGGTCTGCTGATCATTCTGAGTCTGGGCCATGTTGAGTCTTCTGGCCATTCTGAGTCTTCTGGCCATTCTGAGTCTCTTTGAGTCATGTGGCCGT